ATCCTATCAGCTATTTTAATATTGAAAGTAATTTGTGTCCAAGGCAGAGTGATGTTGGGAACCCATACCAGAGAGTTGGGGAGCAGATTCTTGGGGGTGTCTAAAGAAGCCTCCTCCCAAATTGGACAGTTCCAGATACATCTGTGACAGGTCCTTCCTCGGTGATCACTGCTCTTGGAGCGAGCCCTCTGCCTGGAGCACAAAGTCCAGGATGGAGCCAGTCAGTGGTCGAGTGGAAGCCTCACTCAGGGCACTGTGGGACAGCTGGCTAGGATGGCCCCAGGGAGGCCACAAAGGTGGCCTTGGAGACAGACAGCAGGAGAGGGGCAGAGCTCAAGGGAGAAGGGACCTGCCACAGACCTGCGATGGGATCCGGGTGAAGGAGCAGTGGGGCCACCAGCCTATGACTAGGCACCCCAGAAAAAGGGGTTCTGGACCCGCTGAGGGCCCAGTGCCTCTACCTACTGTCCCACTTTTCAGCCAGATGTCAGCCCCTCCTCCTCCTGGAGCCTCTTCTCCCCACTAGAAGAGGCCAGCCTCGCCCTCCCAGGCCTGAGCCACCATCCTGGTTGGGTCACCAGCTCTTCCACAGGGTCACCTGGGGATGAAGGGGTAGGGAAAGGTGCAGGGGTTACCAGGGAGCAGGAGGTAATGCGTATGTTCATCCTCTTGATTGTGATCCTGGTTTCACGAGTGTAGACACGTCAGAACTTGGTAAACTGTACACTTTACTCATGTGCACTTTATTGTAGGTCAATTGTACTTCAATCAAGCAATAAACAAAAACTGCTGGCCAAATACTTCTAACTTACAATTGTGAAAACAAGGTGAACATTTTGTGTTGGGTAAGTTAACCCAGAGCAGAGTCAGTTTTAGGTCTAGATCACAGACACTCTCCCCAGTGGCCTCCAGCAACTGAGAGCACAGTTCACACTCATGTTTACTGATATTTATTCAGTGGGGAAAGATTTCTTTTCCTCACCTTCAAATTTAGTCAAGTACATTTCTTAGAGCAAAAATAGACCATGAGTTTGGAAGGCACAATTTAATTCCTCTTGACTCAGCTGAGGTTTGGATGATTTTCTTATTTTAACATTTCACTGCAGTTGCTGACACCTGCTCCCATCTTCCTGTGACGACAGGCATCTCCAGTCCCCACGTGCCCAGAGCGCTATGTAGCACATCCCACACCCACCATGCCTCCCCTGCCACCAAAATCATAGCCCCCAGCCGGGGGATGGGCACTGAAGACCAGGCGAGGAAAGGTTTGTGCAGATTCAGAACTTCTTTTTTTAGCCACGGGTCACATTTTCCAGAGGTGACGATCTAATTCACATCACTCTCCTGTTTTGTAAAAATTGTCCAAATTACATGTGATGATGGAAGAGTTAAAAGTTAATTCTGCATATTCCTGCCTAACATTCCTTACTCCTTCTTCAACAGACACCTCTCAGGTCTTGGTGCTTTGAAGTACAGATGGGATAAGGTGTCCCAAAATACTACGAAATTTGGAAATAAAATTATCTCCTGAGAGTTCAATTATTGAACTCCAAGCTGATTATATGTGTTACCTGAGGAAATAATGCAATATAATCAGTAAATAAATGACTGAAGAGTTCCAGAAACTTCTATCCACTAAGGTAACATAGGTCTGATCCCAGAGACCTGAACCAGAATCCAGCAGTAAATGTGAAATCCAGCAATCCTGTCTAAGGAGCTGTTTCCCTGAAGGGCCTGTTAGCACAAGCAAGGAAGAGGGAAGTCCAAAGAGGGATCTCGTCTCCATGTGGCCCCAGGACAGAAGAGCTGAGATGGGCAGAATTCTGGTCCCAAGATGTGAGCCGGGAGCCTCTGCCACCTCCTTTGGGCCCTTGGGTTTCGCCAGTGAGGGGACCAAAGACTCATTTGATTTCTCTCACACACACACACACTCGCACATATACTCACACACGTTCTCATTACACTGGTCTACACATTGGTCTCTAGTGAGTTTGTTTGGTGTAAGTCACAACACACGTGGGATGCCTGTCAACACATATTTTCTAGAAGTGGGAGTTACCACATTCATATGATGCAGTCAACCCTTGGCCACAGTTTTTTGAGCAAGAGCCAGGCCCCTGTCCCAGAGTGAGTATGAGCCTTTCCTCTGGAAAGGAGAGCTGAGTCTGCCAGAAGGAACCTGTCTCTGTCTTCAAGGGGCTGGGCTACAGTTCACACACAGGGACGCAGAGAGAGCTGACTGGCAGAGAGGGGAGGTGTGGGTTCACTGGCAGGTAGGGGTGGGAGGAGGAAGGGAGACCCATTCCCAGGCCCTCAAACCCTGGGCCTCAGCTTTGTTCCCAAGCTCCAGTGCATCCCATCCTTGGAGCCTGTGAAAGTCCCAGGATCTCGCCACACATCTCCTTTTTATCTGAATAGCCTGAGTAGGTTTGTGTCAACAGCATCCTAGAGACCAGCCTAGGTACCCAGAAGGAAATGCCCAAGGAGGTCCATGCCAAGCCCTCTTCCCAGCCTGGGAAGCCCTGACCCTGGAGAGCCCC